ATTCCCTTATACCTTTGTGTTTTTTTTATAAAATGTTTTTCTTTTTCTTTCACTTTTCTATGAGAAGATGTCATCAGATTGGCGATATCCTATTGTAGGGCAGTGGTCGAACGAACCCCGTTTAGAATATTATCTTAATTGATCGTACCTCTGTGGTGTGGCAGGTCACCTGTAGGTGCATGTAGGTAATCGGTTAGGTTATACAAGGTAACCACAGGATGTCAGGATTATAGTTTTATTGCTTACAGTTTTCACAAGAAGAGCTCTAAATAAACAGAATTCACTGACACGACTTTGCCTAAGTGAAAAAAAAAAAAAAAATTAAGTGAATGAGAAATCATGTGACTGCCTCCTCAATTATTGGTGATGTTAGTGTTTTTTTCAGTGATCGTCTTGTTAATCTGAGACCAATTTCAAAGGTAATCATTGGTGTTTCATGATCAGATTATCGTAATTTCTTAATTTCAATTGATAGTTGCCATAAAATTATCTGAATAAGTTAAAGTCATTAAGCTCTGAAATTTTAGGATGAGTTAAAATAAACAGTATGTCCAAAAATCTGCGCATATGTAGCTTATACTTTACATTTTGTATAATAGCTATTAGTTTATATACACATCCAAATGTCTATGCTTAAAAAAATTTATTGTTAAAAAATTTTATATTTATTAATATTTAAAACCTATCAAATCATCAAGTTAGACTTTCATATTAATCTTAAAGTATTAAATACATATATAATACCTATTAAATACTACAAAATTGGTATATCAGTATTTCAAACAGTATTAGGAGCCTAAAAGCAAAGTTTAAATAAGTTTGCATAAATGCTTTGTCAGTAAATTTTAGATACTGAATATAATATTAGAAATATTAAGCGTGATCGTCACATTAAGAATCTTGAAACAACTTATTAAATGATGAATGCTCGAATCAATAAGCTTCTGATTTCGTAGAAGTTGATAATTTATAATTTTGTCACTGTAATATAGTAGGGTGCAATACACTATAATAAATCAAATCTTATTTTTAAATTTAGAGCAGAATATTATTATTTATTACTCATATATATAAAGTTGCCACAAATTCAGAAATATTTACCAAAATTGTAATGATAATGATAAATTTCTGCAGAAAGTAGTTTTATTTTGCAATATCGATTGATAAAATTATATTTCAATTACTTATTTCAATTTTGAATTTTAATAAAATTGTTTCTTAACTTTTTTTTCCATAATATTAGTATAGTAAATGAAAAGGTTGTAATAGTTAACAAATTGATAAACCTATATTCATTTAATTTTTAATTTTATAACATATAAGGATGAGCATACTAACTAAACAAATAATTGCGTTATATCCTAATAACTTATTGTTTTGGTTTTTTTCAGTTGTCACAAGCTTTATGTAATAAAATAACCAAAAATATATACTGGGCATAAATGCTTCAAGTGATTCGAATAGTTCAAAATAAGAAAAAAAAGTGATTCAATGAAATAATTTAATGATAACTAAATGATTAAAATTTATTAGAATGATATAATCAGGGTTTAAAATTGACTTGCACAGTGTATATAAATTTTTCAATAATAGAAATCTTTATAGAAAATTAAAATTTTACACTTTATTAATACAACATTTTCAATTTATGCAAGTAAAATTTTTTCTACATTTTAAAAACTTGATGTAATGATATATGATGTAATAATATACAATTAATTATTAAATAAAAAAGATTAAAAAATTAAAAAATTTTTTTCACTTGCACCAAAAATTTAACTAATCTCATACAAAAATATAAGCAGAAAAAATAAAATATAGTGTTTTAGCATAATTCAAGCAGATAAGCAATTAAACAATTTTTAGATTTAAAGTTAATAGAATCAAATTAAATATAACAAAAGTCTTTATTTATATTTATGATCTTACTAAAGCTTTCTTGAATGCAACATTTCAAGTATAGGTTCCATCTTTCTTTCAATTGCACTATTCTTTACAAAAGCTTTAAGATTACATCCTTTATAAACTTGTGACATAGCTATATACAACTGTCTATGAATGAAGACTGACTGTAGAAGGTATAAGCCAACATGTGATAGTGTCTGCCTTTGAAATTTATTAATAGTTAATGTGAAAGCTAGCTATATAAGAAACTGTTTTCACTTAAATATGAATAGTAATCCCAATTCTTCAGATGTGAGTAGTAGAATTTTAAAAAAATATATAATTGTTGTAATAACTTCCTGTTACTATTTTGGCATCAATAATTTGTATTTAAAATTGCTAACAAATAAGTTTTATCCTATTAAAAAGTTCATTAATCGGATCTAGATTTCTAAACAATATAATGGAGCCTCTTTCTTAATGTAAGTACATGTAGGAGAAGGCCTTGAGAGGTTATAGAGTTGAAATACTCTATTGGATATAAATTTAAATTGTTATTTGGTACAGAATCAAAGCTATAATATATGCAATGTTCTTTAGAAAATTTAGTCAAAATTATCTTTTTGTTAATTTTATCAACATCATTATTCAAAAGATTAAAATTGCTCTTTCTATTATAAAAGAGCTATTAATAGCATTGGTAGTAAGATCAGAGTAAATGGCATCTGTCAACAAATTAATAAGATTTTCTTTGTCTTTTGAATGGATAACCATCTCATCAAGAAGTTGGATCAGGACATTTTCTACAGTAGGCTTGATGTCATTATCTATTTGTAATAAATATTCATCAAATAATTTTGCTTTATGTTTGGTTGCATGTTCAACTCACATATTAATGGTTAGTAAGAAAACTTGAATATTCTCCCAAATGTAAGATTTGTTGAGAGCTGCTTTGACTATCTGTGCTCTAGTTCCTTTGCGAACTACAAGTAAGACTTATAAAAAATCTCCTCCAAAAAGAACAATCTTACCTCCAAAAGGAAGATTAGTATTCAAAATATCTTTCAATATTCAGTCACAGCTTCAGGGCATAACAGTTCATCATTGATACTTCATTTCAAATAATTAAAAAAGTTCATGTAATAATCTAACCAACTCACTATCCTTTCTAATGTTGCAAGTAGAATTCCTATCAAGCATAGAAATTAATATTTTAAATCAAGAATGTGTAATGCAACCTTCATGTAAAAGTAACACTGCAATACCAGAAGAAGCTACCACAAGTACAATTTTATTATCAGCCTGAACATGAGCAATAATGTACTCATAAAAATAAAACTATAATAAAAGCTAATTAGAAGGCTGTGATAATTTAATACAATGATCAAATTATTACTTTTTAAATATATATTAGAAATTTGAATTTTATCAGCAAAAAAATTCAAATATTCTGCTATATTACAGTTACTGTCTCAATAATTGATCAGATCTAAAATCTGTAACCAAGATTACACTAGATAATCCAAAAAGATCATTGAGTATTTATACAACATATAAATTATATAAGGTATGCTATAAACCCATAATAAGTCTCTATAACCATGTAAAAACCAAAAACCAGAAAAGATAGATACCCGCTTGGCAAGACCTATATCTACTCTTTTAATATGATAAATAAAGCTCTGAACATGTACTTGTGTTTTATACACTAGTGTACGAGTAAAAATTAGGATGGGGAAGTTCAGATTTGTTTGGATTGATTTAATATATTTTATAATATATGCATCTATTAAACCAATTCGAACCAATATGAAATTTCCCATCCCTCGTCTTTTATATGCTATTTATTACTAAGATGACTAAATAGAGTTTATTATTTATAGTCACCTCTTGTTATAATCACCCAATTTCTGTTTCCTAAGGAGGTGATTATATCGAGATTAGACTGTTTTATCAACTTGTAAGTATAAGAAGATTGATTGAATAGATTTATAATCTATTCTATATTTAAGTGTCGCTAAAAGAAAATCCGAAAATTTAAATATGACTTATATTTAAATTTTCGGGGTTTCATTTAGCGACAATCATTTATTGTTCTAATCCAGACAACGTATGTAAATAGAAATGCTCTTAAATAAATACGTATTTACATAATAGCTAAGTCGCTCTTACTTCTGCCATTTCAATCAATTATTACTTCTCCACCAGCCAAGGAAATAAAAAATAATGATCCAAGAATATAAAATAATGAACACAAACACCAAATAATGTTCCAATTATTATCAGTAACTTCTAATATCCAACCTGTTAATGATACACCAAAAAAAGCCGTGGTCATCGCAAAGGTATTTGCTAAGCCACATATTGAGCCCGCATATTTTGGTGCAATATCAAGCTATAACCGATAAGAGTTTAATTTTACATTAAATGAATGAATAAATAAATAATTGAGTGATTAAATAATTACCAGAGATACATTTACACTCGTGAGTTGGAATGAATATATTGCAAATCCAATTGTTATTATCAATAATCCTTCAAGTGAAGTTTTTGCCAAATATGTTACCTGTAAATTATAAATATGAGTCAAAATAATGTCGCAGATGAAGCTAAAATTGGTTGATGCTTGAATTTGGGACTTAATTTGAAATGTAAAGCCTATTAAAATCCATATCTAATTTTTATTATATAATCGCTGACTTTAAATCCTAGCTCAACCCAAAAAAAAAAAAAACAAACATCTCAAAAAATTTTTTTAACATTCATACTAAAATAGGTCCAAATTAAAGCATCAATCAATTACAATATCAGCAACAACTATAAAATAAACATTTGGTAATTATATATCACTTACAAATAATAGAGATATTGATATTCCAAGGGTTCCGATTATATTAAAAGACTTTCGTACAGTTAAAACATAAATTTTTAATTTATTAATCACATAATCACAGAGATAACCGACTATAGATCCCATTATGATGTAAACAAAGTAAGGTAAAGCTAAAAATTTGAAATTTATAAAATTTAGAAAGATAATATAGACGAATATTATTAATAATGTTATGAGTATTAATAATATTTCTTACCAGTATAATATCCAATTAAATTGATGTTTACATGAAATGTTCATAATAATATATTGGTAACCAATTAAGCAGAATAAAAAAGCCCCAAGAATTACAAAATTGACCAAGAATAATTGCCCATACTTCACGACGAGAAAATATTAATTTCCAAGGAATTTTCTGTATATTATTTGGCCTTGATAAAGTTTGATCTTTTGGTAATAACACATCGTTTTCACTTTGAAGAATGCCACGAACATCGTCAGTAATCGTAATATCCCTGGATCCTGATTGATAATGATCCAAATTATCATCTAAATAAGCACTTGATTTGCTTTTCAAAATCCAATTTAATTCTTCTTTACTGATTCCTAAATAATCCCTAGGATCACTTTTCCCATAAAAATGCCATGTAACGGACCAAATACAGCCAACAATTCCAAATACCCAAAAAATACTTTCCCATCCAAACCGACTCGAGCCCAATATACTTGAAACTGGCATGGCGATTAACATAGCGATAATACTAGAAACAGACAACACTGCAACAGCTCTACTTCGTTCCTCAGGTGGAAACCATTTTGAGATTAAAGAAAACATACATGGAAAAGTAACACCTTCTCCAATTCCTAAACAAATCCTACACAGTATAAGACAGTATATGTTTATTCTGGCAGAAATTGGAGTAAGTAAAGTGAAGAATGTCCAAGTTGCGGCAGCTAGAAATAAATAACTCAGAAATAAACAAACATGAAAATCTTTTTTTTAAATAGTATATCTCTTAAAATATTACTCGCCTATGCTTAATACTCCTCTACCACCGAATTTATCAGTAAGCACACCTCCTAAAATTTGCGTCGTAATATATCCAAAGTAAAATGATGACGATACTAAACCCTGTGTAGTATGATTCCATTTGAATTCCTTAGCCATATAAACTATGGCAATTGCCATATTTGAACGATCTTTCATAAAAAAAAAACATTAACAAAATTTGAAACCCTTTTTTAAAGATAAGAATTAACATTAATATCTACCAGCATAACAGATGATAATAGCAAAACTACAGAGAGTGAAAACTATAATTCGCTTTGGGATATAATCAGGCAACCATTTACTAAAAAAATGTTCAAATAAATTAGAAAATAATATTCGTACTATGGAAATACTCCTTTGACATTATTTTAGTACAAAAGAACATTTAATTTGGCATTCTATAAAATCGCGATAACTTAAAATCTAGCAACTAATTTAAATAATTTTAATAATATTTTATTTATCTAATAAGATGAATAAAATGGTATTAAGTTTTAAATTGGTTGCTAGATTTTATCACGATTTAATCAAACTTATATTATTGAATGTCCTTTTGCACAAAATTATGTTCTTTTGTACTAAGTAGAACTTACTTGGATATTAATGCCATAATTAGGCTAGAAAAGTGTTATTAATTCGCACAATAGTTTATATAATAAAAATTTTAATGTAATAATATATTTTTCGTATTTTGAAACAAAGGTTCTTTTAACGTTAACGTTAACAGAACAATTAAGTATACGTTCAAATCAATGTACGTTGAAACCCTCAATCGATGTGGCCCCAAAATTAAAAGAAAAATGGGAAATTTTTATCGTTATTGAATTCCATTTCGGGCATAACGTACGTACGTATTATTTATTAAGCATGTGAGGTTTAGGTTTACTTGTACGTATCCGGTATGTATACATTATCGTTATTGGGCAAAAATTTGTGAATACGTAACGGTAACGATGGGGTGTCCGATTGGGGTGTTCTCTATCGCTATCGGTCTAATTACAAACATAGTGCAGATCACATAGCGATAGTGATGATCACTTATCAATGATTTTTTATAGATCAACGATAGTATAATAGTAAAACATATAAAAAACATATAAAATTCAAACTGCAATAACTTTTGAACCAGCGAACCCATACAAATAAATTTTCATTTATTGGGTTCATTTTAGCATACTCTTTAAAGTAACAACGCCTTTTTTTGATTTATTTTATTGTTTGGAGTATAGAGAAAAACTCAATTTCAGTGCAAAATTTTCGTTTTTGATACATTTTTAATAAATATATCAAAAAAGTAACTTTGAATTTTTTGTCTATCATTATGCAATGGTGATCGACAAAAAATTCAAAGTTACGGGTTTGATGTTTTTATTAAAAAAACATCAAAAATGACAATTTTGCACTGAAATTGAGTCCTCCGCTATGCTCCAAACAATAAAAATAAATTTTAAAAAAGGCGTTGTTACGTTAAAGGGCCTGCTAAAATGAACCCGATATATATAAATTTATTTGTATGGGTTTGCTGGTTTAAGAGTTGTTGCAATTTGAATTTTATATGTTTTTACTATTACACTATCGTTGATCTATAAAAAATCATTAATAAGTGATCATCACTATGTGATCTGCACTATGTTTGTAATTAGACCAATAGAGAACACCCCAGTGTCCGATGTACTATGTAAATCAAATCCATATCAATCAATTAGTAAAGATTAAACTACTGCAGCAACAGTATAGTTTCGATAAATTTCAGATTTTTTTATTAATTTTCGGGTTATGAAAAAAGCTCTCTATTACATAAAAATAAGCTATCCATTGAACTCTCATGCGAAATTTCTAAATAGATTAATATATAGAATGTTGAGAAAATATATGGCGATTTTCACAAAAAATTGCAAACTTCAAATTATATCTCCTCGACATTCTACATATCAATCTATTTGGAAATTTCGCGTAAAAGCATAACGGATAGCAAATTTTAATGAAATAGTGGCTTTTTTTCATAACCTGAAAAATAATTAAATTTTAATCGAAATATACTGTTGTCGCAGTATTTTTATTATTAACGTATATGTAACAATTCATTATTTTTCGGGTTATAAAAAAAATCTCTCTTTTACATTAAAAGATATTTGGCGTTGTTTTGATTTTCGGTAAGTAGTTAGTTTGGTCGATCGGTTGATCCGGTGCTGCTGATTCTCAGGAGTCAGCCGTAGTACTTCAGTGAACGCCTTGTTAATCTGGGACCAATTTCCAAGGTAATCATTGGTGTTTCACGATCGGATTATCGTAATTTCTCAGTTTCGATCGAATGGTGTTACACAAGAAATTTCACAATTAAACTTTCGCTTGCGTAACCATTATACTTTTGCGTGTAACAAGTTAATAGTTTATGCGAAGTTTATCATTGTAAAGCATACCTTAATTAGACTTGAATAGTATAATAACTTATTTATAGTCTAATAGTAACTATAAATATAAGGTTATAGTACTTTGGGTAGTTAGAGGATTTTTGAACAGATTTTAGAGTTAGAGATTTTTAGTTTTGTTTCTGGTCTTTAGTTTTAGTGCGTTGGGAACGTACTAGGTTGGTTAGTTGGATAAGGATATTTGTTCTGTTAGTGTCTGGGACACAATAAAAGATATTGGTTTAGTACTTTTGGTACCTTGAAAGAGATAATAAATACTTGCTTTCTCATCTTTAATGTTTATGTCCCTGAGTTAAATTGGTATTGATATAAGGAAGTCTCTCCCACTGATCGTAACAATGGTCGATTTTGGTAATTGGTGGTCGCCATAAAATTATCCGGATAAGTTAAAGTATCATTGAGCCCCGAAATTTTAGGGTGCGTCAAAATAAACAGTATGTCCAAAAATCCGCGCATATGTAGCTCATACTTTACATTTTGCATAATAGCTAATTAGAGCCTAATAGACAGTATAAATAGGGGTTATTGAACACTAATAAAAGTTTTAGAGGTTCTTAGAGAGGTTTTGAGATTTTAGAAGGAATCTGTCTTGTACTGAGTACACCTTGGGAAGATTCATTCTTGTATTAGCTACGCTTAGAGTATTTTTCTTGCACATTGAAATAAACCGTTTGTCTTTCATAATTAAGGCTTACGGCGCTGAGCTAATTTGGCTGGAATCATAAAACGCTCTCCCAAGTCGTAACAACGGACCGATAACAGCCCTAATTAACTGTAACGGTTCACATTGAGAGAGCTGCTATGAACAAGTAGTAACCATATGACGAAAATTTTTTTGTGTGATTTAACCTACACTCTGTATGCACTTGTAAATGTAAATTGATTTTTAGATTTACTGTACAGTCATATGAGTGCTGCCAAGTATATTATAGAATCTATAATGTATTTGATCGTGTTACACCCGAATCTACCACTTATAAGTCCGGTATAACGTTTTATTTCTCACGTTATTTGTGTATGAAGACACTATAACGGAGTTATGGTTTATTCGAGCGATCTGTGTATGAAGACACAATTACTCTTTATTATTATTGAGTTGTTGTTGGAACTTCGAGTTCTGTTCTTTACAAGAGAAATATCTAAATCTATTTATACCTTTTGAACTATCGATCTTTGCTACTATTTTTATAAATTACAAATTTATTAGAACCACTAATTTTAAAAGAAAGCATTAGCGCTATTAATGTAATAAGTGCTTTAGAACTACTGGTCCTATCTATATTATTTTAGCGATAGCTAGCGCTACTTAGCACTCTTGGCATTAGTGTTACATTTCCGCTTAATATCACATGAGCTAAATTACAGGGGTTAACAATAGTCTGTAGTGTCTTTTCCCCTGGCAGCACTAATATGTATGCCATACGTGCTTACACTTTAAATATGCTTGTAAATACGTTATGCCACGTTAAACAGTTAACGTTAAGTAAATAAAAAAAATGCTCTGAAAAAAACTATTTGTTGCTAAAAAAGGGTGAAGATAAGATGATACGTGATCTCAGTGATTTTTAGTCTATTCCAATTCTAAACGAATTTCATTTTATATCGTATGGGCCGATCGTGCTCATTTTGTGATATCTAAAGATGATCATATTAAATTAAATGATGCGATAACATTAACATCGGCATATTTAGTAATATCTAAATGTATTAGATTAAATAGGTTTAGGCCACTCCAAATTGATTCTATGTTTAACATACCTTCTATTTTTTTTAAGAGTGAGGCCTGGCCTCGGTCTTTATTGAATAATTTATGCGTTACATTGTTTAAAATAATAACACTCTATTTTTTAAAATTTTACGCAAAAAAACAACGCTATATTTACTAATCAAATTGCAGCATTAGTTTTTTGAATTTTTACATTGCTTACAGCCAATAGATTACTGTATTTTTGGTGTTGTTTAGTGCCACCTTCCTGGTGCAGGAAATGTTCATTCACAGTGGTAATATTTTGTAGAATGAAGGCATTAGTGAAAATATGCAATCTTAAATCTCATATCTAGGATTGCCTAAAAATATAATGAAAACGATTCAGTCATGCCTTGTGTCGCGCTCGTGAGTTTTATCAATGACATTCATAAATGTTAACTGGGTAAAGACCTTTTGATATTACAATAAAAATTTGTCATTAATGCGCATTTGCGAAATTAATCGGGCAATTGGTCCCCAAAATTAAATTTTAGTTACCAAATTATATATTAATCAATCAATGTTAAACCACGAAAAAATTTTTTGAACTCCTGATCTGTACTGATAACGCGTCTAACCCATCTTTCCCACGGGATAACCCATTTTTCCACACTCATTAGACATAGGAATTTATTAAATGACGCATGATAACTTGGGGAATGTTGAGTATCTCAGTTAAAATCTATATTTACACATTAGTAGTCAAAATTTTCAAATTTTGAGGTAATTCGCAAATGCGCCGTAATGTCGCCTGAATTTGCTCATGGAACTCCGGATTGCTATATTAAATAAAGCTTCAGGATCGACATAAGCATGACATCATTTAGCTAATCCTAGAGATCGCATATTTTCATTAATGCCTTTATCATTAAATATTGCCAGTGTGAAATCCGTACGAATATAACCTGTTTCATGAATGTTCAATAAATCTCATGAAATATTATAAAATATTTTTAATTTGA